TTAGAGGGTTTCAAAAAGGTCAAAACAAACCACACGAAACTAATTGTGGTTTGGTTTGATTCCTTCAGTCCAAAATTACAAATTTTTAGTGAAAAAAAATCAAAACAGTGGCATACTGCCGCTAAAACTTGATTGAAGTGAGGCTTGAGTGAATGCATGGATATTAGTATTACCAATATATACAAACTTAAACAAGAAGAAGAGTAAGTTACCTTCTTCAGCAGGCAGACGCGAAGCTTGTGCTTCAACTTCGACTGATTTGTTGCATAAGCAGAGAACCGAAATGAGCATATAATAAGGTTCATGATGATTTTTGGAGCAATAAAATTAACTCCTCTTGCCATTTATCCTTGATGCACTACAATGGTAAGAAAACTCTCTCGGAATTTCTCTTTCTTTCTCTTTATATGATTCTCACTCTTCTTTCTTACTTAGGCTTGTACAATGCACACAAACCATTACCTATTTATAGGCAAGGAGTACCCGACCCTTCAGTGAGATTGCCCTCGCATAATGCATCCCATTAGGCATTCTCCAACCCATTTGAGGCTAAACCCAAATTCTCTCTCCAAAAAGTAATTATTTAGGTTTTACCCGGACTCAAACAGTTTTTTGCCCCAACCCTTCAGACTCAAATTTTAATCGTAACTTTATTAAATTGTTTAAGAATGGTTTAAGTCTAATTTTTTTTTTAAATGGATAACGTTTCTTCATTTAATCTTTTTAAATAACTTCATAATTTAATCTTTTGAAGATTTTAACATTAAAAAATTGAAATTCCACAAACATAATTTTTGGTGGATTATTTGAGAAATTGGTGGGTATTTATAGAGTTTTTAGTGAGTTTTGGGGTTGGATTTGATTTAGATTAATTTAAAATATTATTTTGACCATTTGATTTAAATTTCAGCTGTTGGATTTATTTATTTTTACCGTTAAACTAACATGGATTTAATATAGATCCTTGATTTTGGTTACTATTGGAATATATATATATATATATATATAAGGGATGTTTGAACCAACGGCAACATCATGAGCGCATGACATGTGGCGCTACAAAGTCTGCAGCTGTGCCAGATTGTGTGGGCTCCATCAGAAAAAATTTCAGTCCAGGCAATAGCTAGACTGGTATTTGACCCCAAGTTTAGGTTTTCCCAAATTTTTGCCCCTTAATTTTCTTGGGTTGTGAAAGAAAATGGGTTAAAATTTTGGACATTTTAGGTTTGGCCTCATGGGTTGGAGATGGCCTTATTACACCCATTTACTTTCACCTGTTTGGTTCGAGCTATCACATGGCATATGCATGTGTGGCTGATAGTTCAGCAAATCAGTCAAAACAACTATGCAAAGCGAAAAACATATATCAGAAAGTAGGAAGAGATTCCGTCCAGAAAGCAACATATATAATAAACAAACAACCATGAGAAATGTATAAGGGTAAATGTTACTATGAAAATTGTATTGGCATTTCCTAGATTTTAGCATAGGTCAGGAATTAGGGTGTGAATATCTTTTCCTGAAAGTTTTGGCAACACATTCAATTCCAGATTTTCGAAGTATGACTTGATCGATATGAGGAACTTGATTTCAGGTAAATCATGACATAATCATACATTCATTATAGGATTCCTAGTTGGAGTTATTTTCACTAAAGTGCTTTTATATTAGTCATATTTTTAATAGGATTAGATTTTATCTCTTGAAATTATTTTCCTAGTTGAATCTTATTTTGGTTTATAGAATCAAATCTAATTAGGCAAGATATTGATATCTTGGCTTTATGAATTTTCTTTTGCAAAATAACATATAAAGCAAAGGCGTGCATCTCCTTGTTTGTACAGCTTTTACATGTTTTGATTGATCATCTAAATTTCTCTAGAAAAGCTTATATGCATATAGTTGTGATAATTCATCAAGTGTTCCAAGTTTACATGGTGATTTATCAAACATTTGCATAATTCATATTGCATTCATTTGCATGTTCTGTGACTCATACGATTGAGGGCACAAAGACCGTGGTGCCGGTTTTCCTCCGACGAGCTTGAAGCAGTCGTGACTAGTATTGCGTTCAACATAAAAGTCAAGGAGATGCACATATCAATTTGAATACCACCAAATTTTAATTCATTACTTAAGATTCCTAATTGAATACCACTGGAATTTAATTCATTACTTAAAAAACGTAATTGAATATCACTGGACTTTTAAGCTTCAAAATAATCTATTAAAATCCTAATTGAATACACCCCTTTAAGTTCTTTTAATTAAAATTTATTCTTAATCATTTAGCAGTCGCCAAAAAAAGAAACTATTCCTAATCATTAACCTTGAGTAACCTCATGGAAGAGATTGCCAACATAGATGGTAGTGTATGCTTGATTATTTTCAGGGGCCTCTTAATTGGAGTTCTCCTGACCTTCATATGAAGATCCATTTGTAAGTAAACATTTTGAGTGTCGTCACTTTGCTTCTCTTCAATGGAGCGAATTTGTCTACTTCCAAGCCATTGAGGATCCTCTTGGTTGCTGATAAAAAAGCAACAACAAAAAACACAAAGTCATAGCAACTATGACAGACCAAGAACCAAGCAAATAAAGTTGCATATGTGTAACCTCTGGACTAAGATCGCCAACAAAAAATAACCGTTTGAGACTGAAAATCGTAGGTTAAAAAGAAAAGAAATACAAAAAGTTTTTCTAAAGGTCAGAAGTGGGTATTAGAGAATTATAACAGGTAAGTTAGTCCTAAAATGTTGCATCACATGCTTTCTCATGTGGGGGAAAAATTCTCAAATAATGTTACCCAAAAACAAAAAAAAACAAAAAAATCTCAAATAAAGCCAAGGGTGTGAAATTTTCCCCACATGGGAGTCCATATCCACACCACAAGTGCAGAATTGCATTCCCACAAGTGCACTTAATATAGACCAAACATAAAAATGCAATTTTTCTCAAGCTCCTGTCTTTAACCAAACAACCAGTCCAAGCCAATCCAATTCAATACTTCAAAGCTCATTCTAACCAGTCCGAGCCAGCCCACCAGACAAGACCTAAGAGTTTAAAGTCGATATTGGTATTAATGCTTGATGTAAAAGGCTTCAACCTCGCTTGCTGCATCCACATCACCCTTGACTAGAATATTCAATGTCTCATCCTCAGGTTAGTTCCTATTAATGAAGGGACCCCTTATAGAATAGACTTATTAATCAATAAGAATTTTGATGGCACGAGTCAACTACCAACTAGCTGTATAATTGCAAGATAATAAAGAAAAATTAAATGCATAATTGCATTATTGATTGGAGATAGCAATGCTATCCACATTGCAAAAAATTTAAATGCACCGGTTCTTTTGAGTGGTCTGCATGACAAACCTTATCTTTTGAAAAATCACCAGGAAAATAATGACCCGACAATATTACGTATAATTAATTCATTGGGGTTGGTGCAGTTAATGCACCGACAGCTCTACATTTCTGTCCACCAAAAAAGCTCTACATTTTCAGACGCAACGTTTTTAATGTTAGTGAAAAATAGAAAGAAGCTTGGTCTATTACTTTATGTAATGAGTGCTGCTATTTCCACCCACCTGTCCTATTTTCCCACTCATTTTATCTTTAAAATTTTAAAGATACATTTACCCATTTATGAAAAGACTTCTAAGGACTTAGAGAAAAGGATTAAAAACCAAAACAATTGCCTCAACCTTAAAATTAAAAAAAGTTAAACAAATCCAAATCACAAATATCAAACCTTGTAATTATGGGCGATTCTTCAAATTACCTATCTCCCATTATTGCACCTTCTCTACCATCCTCTATTCTAAGATCTGATTGGTTTTCAACATAAGTTATATATGTTCATAACTTGTGAAAATGAAAGAATCATATCCTAGCATTAATTCATCCCATTGGCATTTGATTAAAGAATAAAAGTTTCTTCAATTGCCCAATTTTTCCTCATTTTCGTACCAACCCCAAATCCATTATTGGAGATATATTCTTTTGTATCGTCAAAATTGTTTTAAAAGAAATATAAATCACCTGTAAATAGCGAGAAGTTCAATTATTTGTGAAATTAAAGTGCAAGAAAGAGTGAGATTTTGGTGGTTTATAAACACACAAAGATTCAGACCATTTGTTTTAAAAGTCAGATTCATACTATTTGTTCTCAATTTTTAATATGGTTTTCATAGCTCTTGGAAGAACGATTTGAAAAAATTAAGAACAAATAATCCGAATTCATTGTACAATAAGTGTGAGGCAATTTATTTATATCAAATTGTGATATGCCAACTTTTCAGCCATTAAATTAAATTTAAATGACATCACTAGTTAACAGACCTCTTTAACTTAAAAGAGAATTTGCTTGAATTAATAATTTAAGGGTGTTTTAGGAATAATGGTGGGTGTAAAGATAGGATTGTGTTTTTACATAGTGGGTGGGAAGATAAGGTGGGTGGGGAAATAGGATAGGTGGGTGGAAATAGCAGCACTCTATGTAATATGTTGTCGGCGGCCGGCGGCTGAAATAGAATTCAAAATATTGCAGTTACAGTTTCAACGTTTCTATTAATTTGTAGAAATTTACAGCAGAAATTATTCAGTCTTTGGTGAGGAAAACGAGTGAACTAATTAAATTGAATCTTCAATTGAATAATATTGATATTGTTATTATTGTTGTTTGCAGAGACAAACATGGAACGAATAAAGCTAATAGAAAATTGAACAAAATATGTACAGAAAAGAAAATATGGACACAGCTAATCGGTATATGCGTTTCCGAAGACTACGAACTACAACATATTTGCTACTATAGAACCAGAATGTCCACAACTGTCAAGAGGGTGTTGAGTCTGGATTGATTTCAGAGAATTCAAGGCCGGACGTAGAGGTAGACTCGAATGTGTGGACCGTAGTTGAATGCTGTGTTCCACTGATACTTAAACTATGATCTTGCCTCTGCCGGTGGAGGTCTCTCATGGCCTTAAACCTCAAATCTTCTCTATAGGTACTTGGTTCTGGGATCAAGTCAGGAACAGGGGTTTGTCCTTCAAGCATGCTCACCACCTCGGACATGCTCGGCCTAAGTGATGCAGAGGCATTTGTACAAATCAGAGCCACTTTAACCATGATCTCCGCTTCTTTTTGGTCAACCTCAGACCCTAACTTCTCATCAACTAGCTCCAACAAGTTTCCGGTTTGTTGCAAATGACAAGCCTGCAAATGTTTATTGTAGTTTCTCACTGAATTAGTAACAATGAGAACAACCAGATGTGACAAGATGGATGTAAAAATGGATCAAAGAGCAAGAGGGAATGGTAAGAGTACCCAATCTAAAAGGCAAACCCAGTCATCACTTGGGATATAATTATTGTTGTTCTTCCCACTAATAATTTCCAAGGCCACTACTCCAAAACTGTAAACATCTGCTTTGTACGTCAGGTGACCCCATAATGCATATTCTGGTGCCATGTATCCTCTGCAAATCAAGATCCCAAAATCTCGTTATTCAACCCAAAAAAAAAATTCACCAATTTACCTAGACTTTGTTGCAAGTACACACAAAGCTTGGTCTATTACTTTATGTAATACTTCAGATAATATGTCCTACTTCTCCTCTTCATCGAGCTTTGCTAATCCAAAGTCGGATATTTTAGGGTTCAAGTCCCGATCAAGCAGCACATTAGTAGCTTTGATGTCTCGGTGAACAATTTTAAGTACAGATTCTTCATGGAGAAAAGCTAGTCCTCTTGCTATCCCAATACAAATATTACGCCTTGTTGGCCAGTCCAGTTTAAGATGATTTTCTCGACCTACAAAAGTTTGTCAAAGAAAATACTGCTCGCTCAGACTTTCTTTTCAACTATAAATAAATTGTGTGAAAGAAATTCGAAAACAAAACGGAACGCAAGTAGTACTCAGGGAGTATGCAAGAAGAAACCTAGAAATCAGTATAACCCATCCAAGGATATAAATAAAGAAAAGGGTAAAAACCAACTCAAAATTATACACTTTAGATCATGATCAGTTACATCTTAATTGGTTTCCGCACTTATGCAGTTGAGTAATTGACATCATACTCACCAAACAATGCTCGTGCAAGGTTATTGTTTTCCATGTACTCATAGACCAGCAATA